AGAAAGAGAAGAAGAAGAGATTAATTAAGGTACAGGACAGACATCAGAGGAGACACAGAGGAAGCAGAACATATAGAAGAAGAGGTAGAAGTCACAAGCCATGTGGCAGCACAAGATCAGTAGAAATGGGTTAATTTAAGTTATAAGAGCTAGTTAGAAACAAGCCTAAGCTAAGGCCAAGTTTCATAATTAATAATAAGTCTCCAGGTTGTTTTTTGTAAGCTGGAAGCCCTAAAAAATATGTCTAAATTGGACAAAAAGTAGCATATTCATTTGAAGAAGGTATGACTTCACAAAGAACCACAAAAAACATGAATGTGGAATTTTACATTTAACACTCAGAGTTTTTGAGAAAGGCAAAGAACCTTAGTGAACCCTTTTAGTTTTCTTCAACAGTTATAGGTTTATTATTAGTGCTGTGACTCAGTGGATATGAGGAAATATTTCCATATGATAAAATGGATATACTTATATGCTTAAAAATGTTTTTCTCAAGCTCTAAGATTCTATGGTGGGTAGAATTATGTCCTCCCACTGTGTGTACATTCTAAACCTTGAATAATGCTATCATATATGGCATTGGAAGTTTTTAGGTCTTTTTTTTCTTTAGAAAGAATCTCATTACATAGTCCAAGCTGGTCTGGAACACAACATATTTCCCCAAATGCCCTGAAACTCATAAACATTGTGCCTTGTCTCTTGGCTGCTGGAATTATAGGTATGTGTCACAATGTTCATCTTGCAAAAGAGACATTCTACTGTGATTAACTAGCTTGAGATGGATTATCTCAGATCACTTGTATAGTCTCTCTAACATAACAACCTTTATAAAAAAGCAGAACTGCTAGTTAGTGAATGAGATGGGATGAGGAAAGCAGAGGTCAGATTAAAATAGTTAGAAAGTTCAATGTTTCTGTAGTCAAGCATGGAGGAGGAAGGGCCATAGGCTGAGGGATTCCAACAGCCACAAGAAGATAGGAAGTGGGGAAAAGATAGATTGTTCACATAGCCTTGGGAAGGAATGTAGCCCTGCAATCACCTGGCTCTAAAGATCTCTGATCTTCTACACTCTAAGAGACCTATGTTGTTTTAAGATATTCTATGGTTATGGCAACAATAGAAACTAATAAACCAATGTCTTTGGGGGAACTGGAGATGGAAGTAGCAAACTTTGCTGATGGCATGTGAGAGAGTAGGGGTCTCCAAGCTTCTCCCTTCTTCTGGTGGCCTAGGATGCAAGCTGTGAGGCACTCAGTGTGTTGGGGGATGAGTTGAAGCAGGCCTTTTTTATTATTCTCGTGTTCTTGCTTGGGTGGATGGCCCAGGACTTCTTTTTTTTTTTTTGGTTTTTTTTTTTTTTTTTTTCGAGACAGGGTTTCTCTGTGTAGCTTTGCGCCTTTCCTGGAACTCACTTGGTAGCCCAGGCTGGCCTCGAACTCACAGAGATCCGCCTGGCTCTGCCTCCCGAGTGCTGGGATTAAAGGCGTGCGCCACCACCGCCCGGCCGGCCCAGGACTTCTTAACACTGAAAAGTTTTGTGAATTTCTAAGTTCTCCATCTTGATGCTGTAGCAAAATCCATTGTCATACTAGGAAAAGTTCTTGGCAGAGTGGTTCTTGAGAGCAATGGCAGCCATAGTATCAAAGGCAAATGAGAAAGTCACTGTTAAAGTTGCAGAAGACAACCTGATCCTAAGGATATTCTTTAGAGGACCCTCCAAGTTGCCTGTCTAACCAACTTCTTGATGTCATCACATTTAGCAGATTTCTCCAGAAGGCAGGTCAGGTCCATGATAGATACATTGAGGACAGCAACTTAGAAGATCATGTCTTTGAGCTTTCTGTTCAGTTCTGCGATTACCTATCCTACAGCCTTGGGAGCACCAGTGGATGAAGAGATGATGTCTGGGAAACCTCATGGATATCACATAGTAGTTTTCTAGTGGGACAAACCTCCCATGGTCTTCTACATGGTGCTAATAGTATTGGCTGTGCTCACAAATCTCTCAATGATTCCTGAGTTGTCCTGGATTACCTTGGCCAGGGAAGCTATGAGTTTGATGATACAGGAAGCATCGCTGATAATTTGGAATTAGTTGTAATTCTCATGACTCAAAACCATTACAGACCTGGAAGCATGAGCAGAAGGGCAAACATGATAACCATTTTAGAACCACCCTACAAATGGTCCCCAGCCTTCTTCATGATCTTTAAGACACCAGTAGATTCCATAAAAAACTTGGCTCCAGCAACACCCCAGGTGATGTTAACAGGATCTCCCTCCTGAGTGATGAAGATAGCCCTTTTTTTGTTGATGACCCCTTCTTTCAGCCACCTTGACTGTGCTGTGGAAGTTTCCATGAGTAGAATCTAACTGAAACATGTAGATCATGTGATTGAGGTAAATGAAGCCATCATTGATGGCAAAAAAATCCCCCTGCAAAGAGTTAAAGGAAATACTGGTGACCAAATTCATTCACTCCAAATTTTACCACTGTGTCTTTGGGACACAGTTGGCACTATAGGAGAAGATTCAGCTGTCTTGTGAGTAGTAGAGAGGAACAGAGAACCCAAACCAATAATCTTGAACGTACACAGCATTTTCCGCATCTACCTTGCCTTTCTTTGTCTCTCTCTTATCACCACCAACTGGTTTCTCTATTTCTTTACTCTCTGAACTTGTTTATTTATTGGCCAGCAATAAGTTTAGTGCTGGCAAGTCCATATGTGGCTTTTCAGAACTTTTTGAACTTAATCTCTCTAAATTGTTTGGCAGGAAACTTCTTACCCTTGTTCAATACTCACCCTATACCCTGGATTGTAAGAAATTGCCTCTCTCAGATGCCTTCTAGGAATAGAGTTGTGAAACAATTCTTCTATGACTCCCAGTGACCACTTGTCACCTCTTTGTGTTCACACCTCTGTGGGTGAGCTGGACATAGTGTTATTTCTCTAAACAGCAAACTGTGTCAAAGTCAATGATATTTACTTCTAAAATTAGCTTACAAAAAGACAGAGAACTTAATCTTTTGCCCTCTTATTCTGGGGAATCCCATCACCTGTCATATGAACTACTTGTGATATGTCCACCTGACAAAGAATTGATAGGTCCTTCTCACAATACCTGAGAGCAACTGGAATTCTTAAGGCCATAGCACTTGGAAAGTTGAGTTAGAAGGATTATCAGAAATCCAAGCCAGCCTGGGCTATATAGCGAATTCTAGATTAGCCTGGGCTGAAACAAGACCCTGGATTACAACCAGATCAAACCAACCAAAAGCAGAAACAAATAATATGACTCCTGCCAGAAACAAAATGCAACATCTTTAAGTTTGATTCTCTCTTTAGACATAAGTATACAGTCCTGACCAATATATTATTTGTGGTTTTCTGAGAAATTAAGGCACCCCAGCAAGTTGCACAGCTTTCTGATCCATAAAATCTATGAAACAATTAATATTTGTTATTTAAATCCATAGGTAGATCAAGAGATGCATCTACATGAGGAAGTTAGATTATTAATTGTGCAGCCAGATCTCATAGCTAGGAATTAACTAGAAAGTCCCTTAACAAGAATGAGAAACATAGTATATCTTATTCTTAAAGATTAAAACATAATTTAAGGATGAAAATGTGATCCAAGATTTGACTTTCTCTTAATCCACTAGGTTATTTCAACTTTGCCACCTTGACATAACCTAGAATTTTCAGGGAAGATAATTTCAATGAGGGATTGTCTATATTGGTTGGCCTGTAGGCATAGCTATCTTAATTATGCTAATTGACATGGGAAGATCCAGTCCACTATGGATGGCACCACTCCCTAAGTTGGGGGTCTTAAACTCTACAAGAGTGGCTAAATCAGGCTAAGCACATGTAAACATGCACATGTTCACTGATCGCTGTCATTTCTCTCTCTCTCTCTTTGCCTTTTATTAACTTCATCTTCATTTTATTTCTTTGATAATTAATTTAATATATGAATACAATGTATTCAGATCACATTTACCACCCCAATGCCAAGCTTCTCTCTCCAATTCCTCCTGGACTCCTGGATCCCATTCCCACATTCCCCTCCCAACTTCATGTCATCTGTTTCTTCTTCTTCTCTTCCTTCCTTCTTTCCTTCCTTCCTTCCTTGCTTGTTTTAATTCTTCTTCCTCCTCATCTTCTTCTTACTGTTCCTTTCTTCCCCTTTCTTTCTTTCCCTTCTCCTTCTCCCCCTTCTCTGTCTCCTCCTTCTTCACACCACACACACTCATAACTTGAGTCTAGTTAGCACTGCATATATGTGCATGAGTGTAGCAAGCCATCCATCTACTGGAGCATGGTCAGCTTACCATGGTCATACTCCTAGAGGAAACAGTCTCACTCTCTGAGAAGTCATCAACCATCTATAGCTCCTCAGCTAGGAGTGGGGCCTTATGATACCCTTCTCTCTCCATGATGGACTGTTGAGTGGCTTGATCATCTATAAGCCTTATGCAAGCAACCATAGAAACTGTGAATTCATGAGTCCAATGGCCCTGGCATACCCAGAGAACATTATTTTGTAGAAATCTTCCATGACCTCTAGCTCTTCCCACCTTTCCCCTTTCCACCTCCTCTTCAATAATGTTACATGAACTTTGCTGGAGGTGTGTGTGTGTGTGTGTGTGTGTGTGTGTGTGTGTGTGTGAGAGAGAGAGAGAGAGAGAGAGAGAGAGAGAGAGAGAGAGAGAGATCTCCTTTAGGAATGTACATTTCACAATCACTTATTTACCACCTTCTGACAAGTTGTGAATCTCTGTATCAACCACCAACTACTGTATAAAGTAACAGTTCTGATGAAGGGTGAACCTTAAGGTTATCAAGCAAAAAATTCATTGTGAAGTGTGGGATACTTACTATCGAATTTTGGGGATGTCTTGTGACCCACAAAACAGTACAGACTATCGCCATCACTCTTGATTGACCACAAGACTTTGATAGTATATGCTTATTGCTGACGATATCACATACCTTGATCTCAGACAAGGAGATAGTAAGCCGGTATATGACTCCAAAAGCTTTCTTCCTACTTGTTAGTTTTCATATAGCCAGGGTGCTTTGCAGGCTGCAGAGGAGAAAAACCACCAACAGTCTTACATACCTGTCAACCCTGTAAGCTACAATAATGGCCAATCTGGGAAGATGCACCCATTGATGAAATAGTGGTGTGAACGTTACAGGGTTAACCAACAAATTTCTGGTTAGATTTAAGGCCTGTTCTATAGGAAATAATTCATGACTGGCATTGTAAATCTGAACAAGAAGCCATGGCTAGGGATGTAATAGTCCCTACTATTATTTTGCTAAATATAGATACCAAACTGCCTTATAAATATTTATCCTTGTGGCCATAGACTTTCACCCCCATCAGAATAGCATCTTTTTTTCATGTGTTGTGACTAGCTGTTTCAACTTTCTGATGCCTTGAATTCCCCTCAACAACAGACCATAACCTGGAATAATAAGGTAAAATAAACTCTTCCCAAAATTTCTTTGTACTAGAACAGTTATTTCATTCTCTTAGAAACTGAGATCTGTTGACTCCTTCTAGTTTTCTACCATTGTAGACACTCAGTTATGCATTCCCAGTTCCTCTGTTGCCAGTAACCACCTGTTTGTACTTACGGATGCTTCTTATACAACTTTCCATGATCTTATGGCCCCATCAGCCACATTATTTCTGTGTGTTTATCAGCATCTGTACCTGCATTAGTTTGCTTATCTGGAGACTATGAGTGCAAAAATCAAAGGGCCAGCACAGTTGGTTCCTCCTGACAGCTTCTAGGGAGGATCTATTTCAAGCCTTTTTCCTATCACCTTCTACCAAACTTTAGCATTCATGGTTTTTAGGATTTGAACATCTGTCTTAATCTTAACATGGACATATCTGTGTTCAAATTTGTTCTTTTCATTCACCAGTCACATTGAATTAGGGACCTATCACAGTATGACCTCTTCCTAACAAACTGAACTTTTATTTAATTGTTAATTACATTCAATCTATTTATTTAGTATGCATGTGTTTGTGTGTGTGTGTGTGTGTGTGTGTGAGAGAGAGAGAGAGAAAGAGACAGACACAGAAAGAGATAGAACAAGTGTGTATTTGTGTGCCAAAGCACACATGTGGAAGTCAGAGGATACCTTCTATGAATTAGTTCTCTCTTTCTACCAGGTGGGTCCCAGGGATCAAACTGCAATCAGAAGTATCAGTAGCAAGCACCTTTACCCGCTGAACAATCTCACTGGCTTCAGATAATTACATTTTTTATATATAAAACAGGAACATTTTCGTGAACTGAAGGGTAGAATTCAACGTGCAAATGTTGTGAAAACTCAGCCTCATAGTACCTGCCACCTCTCTGTACATCCAGAATGTTTATTTTTATTTTTTTAAGGCCAACTGATTGGTTGGTATTTAAGCAAAAATTTCTTAATAGGGCTTCCCTATTAAGACCAGCCCATAAATTGTCTGCTTCTACATGAAGGAACATGTCTTTCTAGAACACAGTCATTTATGTAGGCCGATGAACCCCAAAGGCTTGATTCTCTCAGCACTGAGGCAGGAGAGGCAACCACTTTGATAGACGCTATGGGAAAGACAGACAGGATCCCCCTTCAATTAAAATCTCTATGTCAAAAGGCAGTCATGGTGATACAGGTCTCTAATCCTAGCTCTTGGGAGGAAGAGACAGGAGGAGCTCTATGAGTTTGAGGCCAGGCTGATCTATATAGAGAAATCTAGACCAGCTAGGATTACATAGTGAGACGCTATCCACCAAAATACAAACAGATAAAACAGAACAAAACAAAACTCTTCCATATTAGCCCACCCCCAATTCTGCCCCAGACCAGAATGCAGTCTTGAGGTAATCATTTTTTCCCCAGACTTCATAATGTGTATTTTCCTTTTATAGGGTCACTAAATGTCTTGTTATGTTGACTTTCTTCTGTTACCTCTAATCTAATTTATTGATTACAATTAATTTTAGTACCACTTATATTTTGTATATGTGTGCAAATGGAGAGAGAGAGAGAGAGAGAGAGAGAGAGAGAGAGAGAGAGAGAGAGAGAGAGA